ACGATTACATGGGCATATGAGGTGGTGACAATAACTGACAATAAGCGTGGAACGTCATTTTTTTTTTTTTGCATTGCAGGAGTTAATTTTTTCAAGCCACCTGTTTCTTGAGTGAGACATAAATGACATCAAAACTAAACCAAAGCAGACATCTGAATTTTTAATGCTAAATTGTGGCTCCTGTCCCCGAGAGTCATAACCTGGGATGTCTTTTGACCAGCATATTATTGTCAAACTGAGAAAGGGATGTGATTTCTTTCATTTATAGAGAACACTAAGGCAAATATACAAGGTCCTTTCTAAAAAGGAAGACTTTCACAGCTTCTACCTTGATGAAGAGTAAGTATAATAAACGTCTATCAAATTTTAATTTAACTACCAAACAGGTCTTAGCTTCACTTAAAAAACCAAGTAAGTTACAATTTGAAGAGAAAGTAAATTACTGCACATACATCAATGGTAGGCCACACCTGGAGGGAATCTATGCAGATTTGGAACAGGTCAATTACACGTAGTATAAAATAAAAGCCAACTGAAATAGTAATGACAGGAGGATTTATTAGTACCTCAGGATGTTTCTTTGGAAGCCACTACAGAACTTGGAAGGGTCAACAGTGAACACCTCCACCTCATGAATGACAATAACACCCATTGTATTATGCCTTCCAACCCAATTTAGCTCTAGTTTTTCACCTGCCTTTTTTGTAGATTAACCCTTTAACCCCAAAAATCAACTTGCATATTCTTTACACTGTTCTCTGTTCATTGGTGATCATTTTAGTTTGTTCTGTTTGATTTGTCTGTGATACTGTAAGGAGAAATTTGATGCTGGTCGCTGCTAGGGGTTAAAGGGTTAAAAAGAATTTCCTTCAGAAGTTCAAAATGCCAGTGTCATTGAACATTGATGCCAATAATATGTACCTGATACCTGCCAAAGAGACAATATGTATCAAAGATCAAGAAAGTGACTTTGCTTTGGTGATATATCTTTTTAGAGTAAGCTCTGACAACAACGCTACTATCTTCCAAAGAGTAATGGCCCAAGTGTTACACCAACATGGAGGAGAGGAAAAGTGTCCATAGACAAGGGCCGTGATGGAAGGTACACTGTCATTCACATAAGGCAATAATTATACTCTTTTGGAAGTTTTGTAAAGGAACCGACTAGTTGACGTCTAGTTTCTGGGCAATGAATTCGATGACCTGGTGCCTTTATCAAACATTAAAATAGAATTAAAGACAAAGTAAAGATGACCTGAACTGATCAAACAACAATGATAACATCCTTTAAATAAATTTAAAACTCAAAACCCTTTAATTCCAATATAAAAAACTCATTTTTTGTCGCCCGATAAACTGAATCAGCTCCATTCATTCGCCGGAAGCACTGGATTCTACCTGACTTTTTCATAGTTATTGGTCATCTCGTATGCATCTAGCGTCTTACTCTAACGGTTTATTTATGCAGGAGATATTTCTTCATATTTACCCGGTATATTCGATAATCTAAATATTAATCTTTTACAATTACTTTTCTTAAGTAGCAGTTAATCATAAAACTGTAAATAGGATTAAGAATATAAATATTGACAAATTAAACACGGCACGAATAAAAGTGCGTCTTCGCTGTTTCAAGTTACTATCATGATTAACCGTGTGGTCAGTATGTATTTCTTTTTAAAAGCAATAAACATGATAAACAATCACTTGAGCTTTTTTGGTTGCCACCATTTGTTTTATCGATTTAAATCCTCATTGGACCTTCCCTTTAATAGTGACTAGAGTAATGGATAAACTGACTCATGGATGACTGCGACGTTATTAGCCTGCCTCTTGGTGGAATAGTGAATATTACAAACTTAAATACGCCGTTACTTATTCAAAGTGACACACACATGCTTACACACAATAGCTATCGCATTTTTGCATTGCCTGCAGTGGCGGATCTAGGGGAGGGGTCCGGGGGCCCCACCCCCTCTTATTTTTAGACCAGACTGAGGCCCGAAGGGCCAAAAAAAAATTTTTTTTGAGACCATCTCCCCCTTATCTGAAGATCTGGATCTGCCACTGGCTTGTTTGTCTAGTAGAAAAGCCATTAGGTTTCTTTCACATAATGACTCACAGGGTGCAGTAAGATAACCTTTTATTGGACAAGGGTGAGTACATGTACAAAGAAAATAACAAAAACGAAATTAGTTCTTACAATGACAATTCTGTGAGGTCAGCAAGCGTTATACAGGGCTATGATTTACGATTGGCTTTTTTTACGATTGATTGGTTTTTAAAGAGTTACAATGTTTGGCGCGCCTATTGCTGGTTGACCAATAATCTGATTGGTGTAAAATACAAAGGGATATGCATGACAGCCAGTAAGCGTCTAAATGTCATTGTTCCAGAACAGCTGCTTTGCAATGACCAATATATTGACTGTGACGTTTAGTCTCGTAAATTGACACAGAAGGCAAGCACCTAGCAGCCTGAAAACAAAATTTACTTTCACTTGAGTCGTGTGCAAATGTACGTCTGTATTGGGAAGGGTGGGTGTCGAGCAAGCCGTCGTCGCTCGCCCCAGTATGAAGACATGGTCCCTGTTTCACCATCTAAAGTCAAACAGAAGCGAGCGAAAGCAAAGGGAAGTTACAACGCGTCGGCAATGAACGGAAATCATCCTCCGCTGGAATATTCGCCCAAACCTTGTAACTTTCAAGAAGAATTCGCCTCAAATGCCAGTGTTCTTTCACTGGATGTAAATGACAACTCAAAAAATTCTCGGACGCCGTCGCCTTCTAAATCTAACACGTTACCGCGACATACTGCGAAAACACCACCTCAGAAACCTCCCCGCGGACTGCCACCGAAGCCGCCTCGTCTTATGGAAAGAAAACTTTTCACTTGCGAAAATCCTTCGTGTCAAAAACAGGAAGAACTATTAGGAATCGTGGCGCTGGATTTCAAATCTTGTCCGTCGTGTTTCACACACTATTGTTGTATTGAATGTCGAAGAACTCACTGGAAGGAACATCGTCTTGTCTGCCATTATGGACAAGTTAACAGCCATATGAAATCCATTGTTCATATGTCTAACGAAAATTGTCTGTTACTGCAGTATTTGAGCGAAATCGCTCGACAAGGATTTGTAACAAAAGGACGTGGGGCTGTCATGATGATTTTTCTGTCACCGAAAGCCGCAGAGCTCTTTGTGGAAAGCGGGGTGGACTATTTTCGCAATCCTAGAAATAGACCGACTTTTTCGTCTGTTCAAGAACTAAAAGACTCCGGTGTTTCTTCAAGACACCAAAAACTTCTTCTTTTTCTTGTAAATAATTACTCCCCTGCTCAAGAAATGGTCTTAAACATCGCGGTAGTCATTGGTAAAAACCTCCCCAAGACCCCAATACCCCGCAACAAGGAACCTGCAGTCATCACGCAGATTAGAATTCCCTTTAAGGGCAGCAAACATTCACGGACATTCAGTCCTCAAAGAAGCCAAGAATTTAACACGGTCCGTACTTATAATGTAAACGACAACGTGCGAAGAAAATCGCTTTAAGATTGTAAACAAGAGAGAGTCGTCAGTCCAATCTTTCGTGATATTTGCCAAACACCAAGTCCATGATTTTTTATCAACATGAATGAATCATTCATTTTTCGTTTACAAATTGCTCAGTCTCAAGATTCCAAGCGTTAAACAAGAGTTAGTACCCTTTTAAAAGCTTTTTCGAGAAAGCATAGGCAGCTTGCCTCTTTTCTGTTTCCCGAAGTTTTTTTTAATCTTTTTTTTCATCCGACATGATTTACACAAATTCAAAAAAGTCAACGAGAAATTAATCATAAAGCCCCGCATATAGTCATGCATTAACAGTCCAGGGAAAATTTCAAAGATCTTCCTCAAAAATACCTCACCTGTGTACTTTTTTAAAACACAGCAAACGAGCGAATACGTCGGTGTTGTATTTTTGTCGGATGATTCGACATCGATTTCATTGGAACAGTCTCTTACATATTTAAAGAGAGTTAAAAATTTACATACTTACTGAAGGGGAAAATTAATGTTTTTTTATGCTAACGATGACGTAAATGTTTGGCCAAAATTAAAGCAGCTGTAAAATGTTTATGGAGATTTTTTTTCTGTTGTGTAAGGTAAGATAAATATTTTCTTATTGTTACAATTGTTAATAAAAGTTGCTGATAATGAGACATTTGAAAAACAGCAAAAATACATACCAGGATTGGGAACCAAGAACTGTCAGAACTTTGTTTGATATGTAATCTCTAATTGGATGATATCATAAGAAACGGAAATCAGTGTCATATCGGGCATGATTAAGGATTCTAAACCATGCGTTTGTGTCTTTGTCGCTTAAGATCAGAGTAGGATTGCAACTTAAATGACGACCTAGAATATTTCCATATTCATGGCTATTGATAAAGCCAGGTTGGAGTTATAAGAAAGAGCAATTAATTACACTTTGTGTTCCAATTTTAATTGGGGTATTACATTCAGGTTATGTTCATGCCTCTTTTGAGCGTAATTTTTGCTCATGTCCCCTGAAAATCCCTCGCGCCACCTTTCCTTTAGATTCCTTTTAGATACAATGATTGCTTTCAACATACTTTTAGCCTAGGGTAGCCGCTAATCGAACGTTCCGTAATCAAACCCAATCGAACTCCTAATCGTTCGATTGACTTCGATTGGGTTCGACCTTATAAGACTTTTTGGAGTTCCCCTCGGGTTCCAAGCGCTATTTGATGTCAAACATTTTTGCCAATTTTCTGTTTGCGAAAAAATTAAGCTTGTTAGGTAATAACTTTATGTACTCGAGTTAATCAGTTCACTTTGAGCTTATTTTCTTGATTTTTTTTCCCGAGGGTGGTCGGTTACAACAGAGTTAACTCTATGTTTTCTGCAAATATACGATTAATGAACACTTATCTTTATTTTTGCTTTACCTACTCATTTATGCCAATATTTTAACTAACCCGCCCCGATAAACACCGGTTGCGCTGCGGGTCAGTTTTTTGTAACTTTGATTGTGGAAACAGAAAAAAACTGAATAATAATAATAAGCGTGTTTGATTAATTGCCTTTTTACGATCAAGAACTAGGGGGTAAGCTCCCTTTTTCTACCCCACATCTACCCCCTCGAAAAGTGACTTCGTCTCAGATGTCGCCAAAACAACATTGTTTTAAACCCATAAATCGATCACAGTAACACTTTATTTACGTGTTATTTTACCATAACCAATGTTATTTAAAGGAATGATTACACAGCAATCGTCTTTACACATAAATAAAAACTATTCGATAGCTAGCTACTTCAAAATGTATGCCTTGACGACAGCGGGGCGGTAAATAGACAATAGTATATACATGTTTCAAAGGTTACCAAGTGTTAATGCATCAAAATGATTAAGTTAATCCCAGGATAGGTTCGCCGCGGATTTCCACCCGTTTAAGGGCCGGGTCCAGTTTTATTCCTGCTCTCGCAAGAGCACTTAGCGGCTGTTAATCGAGTCTACAGTTGTAAATGTTCACTCTGTTTGCGTTTATGTATAGCAATTTCACACTTTTGCACAGATTCTCTTCCTAAACTGGATGCAAATACTACTATATTCATGCTAAATAAATAAAAATTGTTCAAACCTGGTCTCCATATTATCGTCAACATCTTCGGTATCGAACTATTGAAAACATTGAGACGATGGACATCTCACTGACGACTGTAAGATAATGTAGATACAGCTATTTCGAGAAAGGTTGTCGGAAAAAGTGCACGCGACAATCCCGAAAGTATCGTGGGTGGTTTTTAGTTCACTGTTTTGTAAAGAAATTTCAAACAATGGCAAGAGAGGCCATGGACGTATGTTTCCTAGTGCTAAAGGAAAGCAATAAAAGTAGGTTCGACAGCTACAGTGTCAGGAACAGTGTATTGATCATATCCCATATTACCTTTTTGGATTGTCGCGTGCACAGTTTTTCCGACAACCTTTCTAGAAATAGCTGTATATGCGGCGGTCCTATCCAGGGAATTGCTCCGGTGGAAACAATGGTTCGTAACGTCGGCGCGCATCAAATTAGAGGTGTTCCCATGTGGTCGTCTGTATCACTTGAACGTATTTTGAGACGATTCGAAGGATCCAGTCGATAATATGGAAAGCAAGCCTAACAACATCTGTTATACGAATTCAAAATGTCCTTATTTCGTTACTAAGAATATCAACCCGTAAGCAAACGTCCCTGTAATGGATACATCAACGATAAAAGACAAGCAGAATAGTAAGATTGCGCAAGCATGTACATTACGACAATCCTGTTGGCTACGTTTCGTAGTTGTAATCCTTGTCTGATCTGTCATCATTCGCGCTATTTTGCGTTTAAACGACCCAGCCTGTTTGTTTTGAGAGATGTTTAACGGAAAATGCTAAAAACCATGTGAAAAATTAAATTATTTTTTGGAGTCACTAACCCTAAAAACCGCTAGAAAGTCATATGTATGATCAAACGTTTGCTGCTGTGCTCTAAAGGGAAAACTTCATGAAATCCAAACGGCATCTATTTAGATTGATATTGTTGCATAATCATTTCTTGTTTCTTGTATAGATAAAACATCTGCATGATTATTATGTCTGAAATCATATGAGTTTTCCTTTGGATTTCAATAACAACGACCACGTGAAGTAATGGACTGAGAAAGGCATTCCCGGAACAATGGGGTGATTTGAAATCACGAACACGATTATCCCTGAACTACCAGACAAAGGTAAGTTATATGCTTCTAGTTGTATCAATGCCAGAATAAGAAAAACTCTGAGTAATGAATATCTCTTGTCAGTTATTACATAAACTTAGGACAAGTTAATTCTCAAACTGAAGCTCTAATTCAGGATTTTTCCTTCATTGTGATTGGTTAAAATAGGTTAGGATAGGTATTTCCAGTTTAAATCTTCACTAGCTGTTTAACTGACCGATTTCGCCTGTCCGATAACTAATGCAAACTGTTTTATCGCAAAAGAAATTTTTGCTGCAACAGCCAATTAAAACTAATCGTCCATTCGTGCAATTTGCTATTGATACAACCGATAAACAGATACTCTAAATAAGCAACTAATTCGGATAGGAAGTTGTTTAGTTATAAAAATGCTTCTTCAGGAGGCGTATTTGGCCTAATACGACTTTTCCCCTTCAGCGAGACTGAATCTTCAAGACAGTAAGCCACCTTAACCGCGTCGCGTCGTTGAATAGAAGCGAGTCTGCTCTGCAAGGATTAGAATGGGGTTGTTAGATGATAAGGTCTGAAAAACAAAAAACGTTAAAATAAAGTTATACAACAAAGAAACTTCAGTTGCCACTAAATATTTTATGGTACACGTGATATGATATGGATGAAGGCAAAGAAAACCTAAATTAGAGAGGAAAAAATAAATTTAATAATGAAGAAAATCCTTTCTTCATCTATATACAATATTACGTACCTTTTTATAATCTCAAATATTGTATCTCATAAAACGTAACAGATACTTTCTTATTTAAAGACTAATTTTAAAAAGCGTATCTATTATTGAAATTTGATATCTTAACAATCAGCTAGTCTCTATAATAATAAATTCCATTTGTCTGTTCAAAATAATACAGGACTAAAAAAATAGGCCAGCAAACTGCAGGGAGTTAGTCAAAAACAGTTACTGACGATCTTAACTGACAGACATGTGCCAAAATGAAATATAACTTCCTCCAAAAGAAATCTTTAGAACTTCGCGATCGTTTCTTTTTCTTTTCTCTTCATAGCTTCTTCCGTACCATTTTCGCGGCTTTCACATACGTAACGACCTGATAAACCTTTTAAGGGGTGTGCGCTATGCTAAAGAAGACACGCACAAATTATCTGTGAAGTCAACCATAAATTTGTATTCTGATAGTTCAAAGTTAAGCACCAAATAAATTGCGGAGCGTATAAATAGGAATGGTGCCTTCGTGCCGATATGATTACGATTACGAGGTGACCCAACCCATAATGTAATGACGAAGAGGCCAGCCTTACCTGATGACACCTTCAACAGCTGTATTAAGTCTTGGTCGCTTCATTCCCAGTCTCAGGCATTATTTTACACATGACAATCTTTTTTCCATGGTTTCCGTACACCGTGAGAGGTTCAGTGAAGTGAATATTTTGATCCACATACCGGCAAAGCTTCTCATACACATCCGGATAGTCATGTTTCAGTCGAATTCCATACTGCTTCAGATTCTTGGAAATGTTTCTGCAGTAATGCCTGCGGGCTTCGTTGTCGGTGACAAATTCGTGGCGAGAACACTTCGGAAGATAGAAAACCTTTATCTCAGTATTCGGGTCATTTGGAAGAGAAGCCGCAGGTGGCGTTTCTTTGAGTTTACTGCTTAAAGGAATCTTAATTACTTGAAGGACAGTACTAACTTTCCTTCGCGGCACAGGATTGGCGGGAAGATCCTCCATTTTACCAGCAATTATAGCGAGATTAAGAACAAATTCTTCCTCGGGTTGGTAGTCTTGGACGTGCTGCATTAACGAGATCTTATGTTTACTGATGACTCCTTCTGCACGGACATTAACTAATGAGGAGTACGTTGGAGGGCTGGGGAAAAATGTGCAGCCGCTAGTCATGAACTTTCTGGCCAACTGTGCAGAAGCAAATGTCACCATAACACTGCCACGACCCTTCTTTTTGTAGCCATCTTTAGCTGTTTGAGAAAGCTGGAATTTCAGACTCTCCTTCTTATGACAGAGGTAAATAAACGAACGAATATAACTGTTTATTCGACCAAAGAAGCAGACTTTCTTATGTTCAGACCAGTGCATACGTCTACAAGTACGCGCACAGTAGTAGGTAAAACAAGCAGGACAAGAAGTGTAGGTGGTTTTCTCGCCGGTAAACAAAATCTCTTCCCTTTCACACCGCGGATTCGAACACTTGATCACGGTTGTTGAACCTCTACGAAGTCCCCAGTAGGGTGTCTCCCCAGCAAACGAAAACTCTGACATTGGGCTTTGAGGACGAGTTGATAACGTCGACACCGAAATATCATCAGGAAAGTCTCTTTCATTGGCTAACGATAGGAAACTAGCATCAATGTTTGATCCTGGCTGAAAGCGATTGGACGGGTACAAGAACATGTCTGAAGTCATGAGGTCTTCCTCCTCCTGTTGCCCACTTGGATCCATCCAAACATTCTGACTGAGCCACTTGCGAGTGTGTGCACTTAGTCCGCGCAGATATGGTGAGTCGCTTATCGTTTGATCTTTTCTAACAGACAGATCAGGCATTGATTTGCGACTATCAGCGGCCTCCTTGAAGCGTTCTTTGTCAATATTGAGCCCTGGAAATGTCTTAACGTCCTGGAAACTATCTCCGAGAAGTCTGTTTTGAACAACAAGTTCCTCGTCAGACTTATGACCGTGTGACCTTGCTCGTGGACGCCGAAATTCTGCTGTTTGGGAAGCGGGAGTAAAAGCAGAGGTAAAGTCCCTTGGCTTCTCCATTTTCACGTTATGCATTTGTTCAGGTGAGTGGTATGCAAACGATTCCTCCCGCGAGATCTCGTACCCATTGCTTTTGGGCGTGTTTGATCTAGAAGAAGTTGATGCACCCTCATTCTCTAACTCGGCAACAGGGGTAGCTGTTTTAGACGAACCACTAGATTCGGTGCGATTTCTCATTCCACCCTTTCCAGCTTCGAGTGCTGCCCTTGTTTGTCGATGTCGATGCTTAAGCGGTAAGCTGCTTACAGATGAGGTTTCTGAATCTGCATCGCTGCTGTGTGTGCGACTGGAGGACCTATCAGGTTCGTGATACGGCGTGTACTCCTCCAAAAATACTTCGTCGAGCTCATCATCATCGTATCCATCGTTGACTAAGAACGCAGAAATCACTTGAGATTCCTCCTGCTCAGCTGTGTCAGCTATGATGATTGGTTGTACAACGATAGGTTCTTCGTGTTTGACGTGCCGAATAACCACGCCATCATTGTCTTCCTCTTTGTTGATTCGAACAACCTTTTCTGGAACCGGTTCCATACGCGCCAGAACTCGAACTTTTTCTTTTACCTCTGGTTTCTTTAAGTCCGAACTAGCTGGCGGTTGAACACCTTGCTGAGCTAACAAGGCATCCAGATCTGTAACCATAATTTTACTCTCTCCAAGAGTTTCTCCTCCGAACTCCTCGTCATCAATACTGCTAAGACTGCTTATGCTCCGCTCGTTGGCTCCCTCTAGAACAAAAACACTATTTACTTGTGTATTCACAGACGCAGACGGACTTTGGCCCAAGCTTCCGTACCCAGATTCACGTTCTTGCCGCCGAATATCGTCTAACGTAGAAGATCTCTCTGGTGCACCACTTTCGATTTTCAGCCCTTTCTGCAGGACATCTTCTACCAAAGGAGTTACGCGAGGCTGGATAATATCCATCTTCATATCTGGCGACGATAACCGATGAGATACGTGAATTTTGATCTTGTTTCCTTTGGTGGTTTCATCTGCAATTTTGGTCACGGTCTCTTTCTCTAATTTTGGAATAATTTCACCTCGTGATATATCATGCACACGGGTTATTCTTTTCGGTGGTTTGGTATTTTCTATACTTTCTTCTGCAACCAATGCGCTACCTATCCACGGTTTGTTAACTTTTTCTGGGTATATTCGTGAAACGCGCGCTTTTATTTCAGGCTGATTCTCCACCTTAACATTAGCCTCCACTTCAGTTTTGCTAGTTTTAAAAAGGTTCTCTTCAACTGTTGATGTAACAGTAGCCTTGAATATCTCTGATTGTTTCATACTTCCAGGGCCGGTTTCACGATTCTGCACTGCTGTAGCTTTAATTATGGGCAGCTTAGACTTTGAATAGGCATGTGTTTCCTTTTCTATCACAGGTTGACAATTTTGCAGTGGTTCTTCGTGTAATACAGGCATAACGCTATCTTTGGAGGTATTTTCAACTTCACTTTCTGTCAGGGTCTCACAACTTTGTTGAGCAGTTGCACTGAGGACAGGTGCCTTGACAAGTTGCCCTGTAGGCTGAATCTCAGGCAGGGATCTGCGGTCTCGCCGAGATTTTACTTCGACGACAGGTACAATCTGTACAGAAGCTTTCTTCTCACTTTTCATGTTGTTTTCTTCGATTATTTCTCCTTCCTCGGGAACACCTGCAAAGCCTATTCCTAAATCGCTACTTCGCCGTGGAGACAAGGCCATCTTCAGAGAGTCAAGGTCATTAAGCGACTTCCATCTTGCTTTGCCATGAACTTTCTTCTTCACATTCAGAATTACAATCCTTTGCCTGTCACCTAAAACCTCTTGAACAGTAATTTTTGCCGTGTGAACAGAGGGAGGTTCAACCGACTTGAACACATCATCCTCTAAGAAAGGACGGTTCAATTCCGGGGGCGTCGGCGTTGGCGAGCCTTCACTTTGCGACGATTGCGTGTCAGGTACCTCTTCCTCTTCAATACTTTCTTGTTTTCTTCCAGGCGTTCTTTCAACAAGTCTAAGATCTTCATGACTTTTGGTAAGGCGTATATTGCAAGAGGAAAGGTATACCTTACGAGGTTCTTTTTCCAAAGCTGTTGGGGGCGATACTCTGGAAGACCATACCTGCTTGTTTTCTCTGTTTCCAATTTTTGTAAGTTTTCCTCGAACGTCAGCAACGTTTATTTTTACGGAAGAACACTCCTGAGACTGAGTAGAAGGGTGCATCGAGACAATCATATTTGAATCTTCAGCGGTCTTACTTGCTTTTTCTTTAACATTAATTTTTGTCGTTTTATTTATTCCCTTTGCTGCTGGCCTAACATCTCGAGAGGTGGTACCTTCCTGGGCTTTCACTTGTGACATTTCCGTCTCCATGGTCTTAGCTACGACTCTTGTCTTCCGTCCTACGCCAATCGCCACATTATTATTTTCTACGGGGTTTTGAGTTGAAAACTGGGTGACCTCGCTGCCAAGAGCATGGACATTCATGGGTGCCAAGAGAGTCTCGGCATTTTCAGTCAGGACTTTCAAGGCAGGCCCTGCTTTGGTATTTACCTGATTGTTTGAGACGGAAACATACTTAATTTCACCCTCTGAATCTTGAGCCTCCATAGGTAATACTTGAGCCTCTATTGTGTCATCAACGGTTTCTACCAGGCCATTCGCGTCGACAGAAACAAGAGGCTGACGTGCGGTTGAGCCTTGAGTTTCAGCCATGCGTGACACTGTTTTGAGTTCGGGTTCATTAGACAAATACTGTTCTGTCTTGGTTACGACCTCCAAGTCCTTGGCATTGATCTCTGTATAATTACACTTTTCGTCATGAAAGGTCATACACTTCATAAACTGATCAACTGGGCGAATTTCTGATTTTACAACATCGTATGGATGATTGTTACTGGCTTCGCGACACGCGAGAATAATCTTTTCATCCACTTCTTTCATCGCAACATCCTCAGTGACCTGCTTTGCACCTACAACTACGTCCTCCATAATATTACCCTCTTCAGCAACGGTGACCTCTTTCCTGACAAATATTTTGATCTTCTTCACAATTTTCACTGACCTTGGACCGTCTTTAGTCTCAACATTTTCATCACTACTTTTCCCACTTCTTTGAATCACGTCATTTCTATTGGAAACGTCCACTTGAGGATCAGTTTCTTCAGGGTCTTTGTTTTTGCCCTCCGTCAGATTCCTCACGCCTTCAACTCTGTTTGTAGTTTCACTAACGCTTTCATCAGTTCTGTTCTCCAGAATCTCTTCATCCTTAGCGGTTTCTACATGGTGTTTCTCTATGTCGGAATTATTGCTAGGTTTCATTTCCTCAAGATCAAAGTCAGTTTTAATTGTTGTTACTGTTCCTTGTTCGACGTTTGGAATACCAATGTTCCCACTTTTTTCAGTCACGCCATTGCTTTTGTTCTTGCCCTCCGTCACGCCATCGTTTTTGTCTATTTCCGTTTCAGCGTCATTTGTCACGACAAAATCCAGCGTCTGCTTTTTCTCAGTAGCTTCTCCTTCATATTTTTCTTTTTCAGATTTATTGCTTTCTTCAACTTCATCTAGATCAAGATCAGAGTCAAAAGTTTCCACTGTAGCTATAGGAGCATTTAATAGTTTCTCTTGCTCGATTGCCTCGGTACGGGTTACCTCATTATCATAAATGGGATTATCCATTGCTCCAACAAAACAGTTTTCTATGATGCTGTCAAATTCTGCGAGTCCAATCTCATCGTCCTCGGGAATTGTAAAAAGAAATGGTTTTCGCCCACGCCTGATTTCCTCCGAAAATCCGTGCCAATCGTCACCATGAGGATCGAAACTACTTTCGTCCCGTTTATTGCCATGATTTTCATTAAGCTGGGACAGGACTAATTCACCATAAACACCATCCTTTTGGAACGAAACATCGTCAAACAACGACTCTACCGTGTAACTCTTAGGGAGGGGATCATCGCTTGAGTCGGTATCATCAAGGTCCTCATCGCTTGCTGCTTGCATGTCTAAATTATCACTTAATGTAGTACTAACAATAACAGACTTTTCAATACTCGTGTCCATTTCGTCTTCCATGTATGTTTTCTCGATCGTTGAACGCGTATTATCCATTTCCGTCTTTTGCAATACCTCATTACTAGTCCTTGGTATGTCGATTTCAGTTTGCTCTCCTTGCAGGTCTTCCATTGACAGATCTGTTTCCAAAACATCGCCAGCATTACAGTTTACATTATCGTGTCCTTCCTCTGACAGAATTTTATCTAAGTCTGTAACAGAGACGTGTCTTTTAAAATAAATGCTAAAGTCACCTTCGTTGTCTAAGTTATCACTTTCGCTCAAATCAATATCATCAATATCAATGTCAGTTTCAAAGGAATCGCCATACTGCGTGGTTATTTGATGTCCATTCATGGCAACCTTTGAGTCCACATCAATAATCGACTTATCAATCGGTAAACTCTCGTCATAAGAGTCAACGATAATTGATGGAATTTCCATTTTATCGGATTGAACGTCCTCCTTTAAGTTTGTCTTCTTTGGCGTCGTTGTTTCATCGCCACCCGACATAGCAAAAAATGTCCAAGCGTGGGTTGTGTGGCCATTAGAATCAGCTATGTCATCGCCAAAGCCATTTAATAAAAGGAGTTCTCCGACTTGACTTCTACCTGTTAATCCCCCGGTGTGTTCCATAACAACTTTGTTCACTTCTTCAGAAAGGTTGTTGTTCACAACATGTTCTGGATTTGTTACATGTTTTAAGCGGAAATCATGTGTGGAATGTTGATCCTCGGCGACACAGGAAATTTTCTGCATGTTAGATGTGCATATTTTAACTTCATGTTCTTCAAACTCATTTGCATCTTGTGTGAAACTTGGCTTAAGGTCAGAGCTAGATAATGTAAACACTGAAGTTTGTTCGATCATATCGTCGTGCGATATTCCTGGGATGATTTGTGAGCAGTTGTCGTCTTTGTCTAAATTAGTGTCGACGCTACCGGAAGTGAAATCTACTTTTGCCATCACGCTCTCGAATTCTTTGTTGCTGTGACGTGGCTCTGCAGTTGGAGTGCTAATTTTGCAGTTTTTTGTATTTTCTGCTTGAGTAATATTGTTAGTCCGGGAAGAAAACGAAGAGCCGTTTTTTTGCTGCCTCGTTGCAGTTTCGATTGACGAATTAATGTTCAGTACGTTGTTTTCTTCCGCCGATGAGTACAGCGAGTGATTGCTGTTACCGTGCGGATCATCATTTAACATGCGATCTTGTTTCGTACCTGAGGTTTTCGCTTGCAACTCCTGATTGTCCAAAGATATGACAATATTTATATCGTCGCACTCAAGGTTATTTTGCTCCTTGTTTAGTAAGCTATTTTTTGACTCCACATTGTTGTTACCGTTAGGCTTGTAAATCGTAGGAAAATTAGTTAAGTCCCCCACATATTGATCACCATCAAAATCGCCGCTTTCTTGTGATTTCTCACTGACATCGGTGTCAGTTTCCTCTTCTAATTCCTCTTCTTCAACAATACTCGGTAAAACCCCGGGAAAAATAAGGTCCATATTTTCCATTGAATGTCTTCGAGCGGTTCCAGTCGCAACTGGAAAATCATTTGTGTTGTAACTGTCATCATCCCATGCGTACTGCGAGTAATGAATATGAATTTCGTCGTCTACGTACTCATAGATGCTGGAATCTGTTATTTTCGTAAGATGAACAGGAGAAGTATTTTCAGAGCCTTCATCTTTCGACTTTTCGTTCTTAAACCGCAAATCATTGCTTAAATGTTCAAGAATTCTCTTTGCGACCTCTTCTTCTTTGTCAACTTCCTCTTCGACTTGACACACAGACCTTCGCATGGGCGCGATTTGTGTGATGTAAAACCACACGGTTACAATGAGAAGCAATACAAACACGAAAGACCAGAAGGCGATGGATATTTCGCCGTCTGCAAGCTGAAGATTGTCAGGCATGTCACCAGCGTGATCACCGAGAGATAAAATCGTCGCCATGAACACCATGATAAAAGAAAGAACGGCTTCCGCGATCTCACAAAACGTACCCAACGGGATCACGAAAATAAAGAATTTATACTGACCAAGAAGCAACTACATCTCCACAGGCACCACAACAAACCCACTGGAAATTTAATCGGCTTGGTCTGGGCCGGCTGAATAGGCGTCTTTCATGCACTTCGAGGAAATCGAACCGTGCAACTACATGTCTGGATTTGCATATCAATAACTGGCGCTTAAAGCTAATTTGAATCCTAACTTTAGATGCATTGTGTTACCACTTGCGCAGCCACCAGCAACGATTTCCTTCCAGCGATCGGACAGCCGCCAATTCATAAAAAATTCAAGCTTTCCTCATATGGCAAGCCGCTCTTTCGACTTACGCGAGGAACGCCTTGTTCATTCGCTTGTTTATCTTTAATACTGTGTCTTAAAATACGACTGGCTGAAACCTTAATTACATAATACCTTCCACCCTCTTGAGGAGAGCAATGACACTACTATAACTCTAAAATTAGATAGAGACAAAGCATAAAATGCTAATTTCTTTGTGAACGAATGAGAGCAAAAGAGTTCATGAGAATAATATCTTTACGAAATTAAAAAAAAATAGGGCCACAGTGCACGCGAGAACACATTTTATAGCGAGACTAACCGAACCCCATGTACCCCACGGCCATTTCGTTTGGTACTGGCGCAGTTTTTAGTAGCAATAGTTGCAACTATATTTGCGTAATAAAGGATAGAGTGCAGCTAAAAAATTTTCAAATATTGTTTAAACTCTTGAGCTGGTACGTACGCAATTGCCCCATCATTGCATGATGGCAGATATTTCAATGAGAGCGATTATTACTAGTTTCCGGTTCCTCTTTCACCTTACCGGAAACAGGTATGTAAACATGGCAGGACGTGAGCGCTGACAATTTACAAATCGCTCAATTTATTCTGTTCATTTGCCACTCTCAGAACCACTTAAAAATTTCAATAAAAATGATCACTATTATTGAAGCAGTAATAATTTGATGGCAGCATATTACACAAGACGAGAAATCAGACTACTGTATTAGTATACTGATTTTTACCTGAGTGGCGTCAGTCTACAAAACTGGCTAGCTCAAACGGATTAAAACTTAGAGCACTTTCCTTAAATCAGACTACATGACTGAAATACCTAAGTATTATTGATAATACACATGTAGATACAACTAACTGCAATAACGTTGTCATAGAAAAATGACAAAAGGAAAAAGCCAAATAGGAATTAAATAGGCTATAATTAAGCCACATTCTCAGGGTAGATTCATTTGCAGTCGTTGCATTTTCCCGCTGGAATTTTCAGTTTTATTGTCTTTCAGCTTTAAAACAATGGGTAATTCCAACAGGCGGGTAGGCAAATGCGACGTCCATGTGCGGACGCTGCCAATGAATTCATTAGGCTTATCACCCAAATTAATTCCTTTTTGGCTTTTTCCTTTTTTTCATTTTTTTGTAATTGGGTGTAAATAAGGCTTCAGCTGTCCGCAAACCACTCCTTACTCCAGGATGTTGAGAAAAACAAAACAAAACAAAATAGAAAACAAAAACGAGTCAAATGAACACTGTATTGCAGTAAAGTGCAGCAGGCAGCAGCCGTTAGAATACGAATAATACCACCTGTTTCTTTTACAATGCTTTTTAAATAATAAAAATTTTAGCTGGTAATGATACCCTTACCATCGGTCGCATAATAGATCAGTGTGGAAAATTCTGCACCTTAACGAGACAGTAAATAATGTAAAATTATATTGTAAAACAACCTGGGTCTGTGTCAATAATGACAACAATTAAGGTTGATGAAGTTTCCTTTCAGCATCAATTTTTATCCAGGTTAGCTCAGAAGAAACAACTGATAAGGTCGAAATTAAATTCTCTCCACAAAAACAGTTTGCTTCACCCCCCCACCCTCCCCCAGTTTTAGCTTTGACTTGTCTGGATCCTAACTACACAGCATATCCATGACATATCCTGACTAATGTTCGCTTTTGAATCTCTTTATTTTCCATGGATTTTTAACAATTCAATTCTATTCTATTACTGTAGGCTAATTTAGTTTAGTATATTAGTAGAACTAAACATTATTGGTAAGAGACAGCTTGTCTGAAAAAAACTACTTTGCTGAAGTTGCGAGTGAACAACTTTAACAAATAAATAAATTAATAAATAAATGAGCATATAAGCAGACAAATAAAAAAAAGAGAAAAAATAAATAAGTGCGGCACTCTGCAAAAAAACAAACGAACGCTTTTATCTGAAGCTGCATTACTTACAAAGGCCATTTTGGATCCTCCGCCTCATTGTATTACTTTTTTTGGAAAAACACATGTTCTTGGCAATTCGACTGTACTGAGAAACTTCAATTTGTTTGTAACCTAACTGAGGTATTATTTTCTACACAAACGTAATTCTCTAGAATTGTTTTAATTTTGTTGACAGAAATATACAATATACTTGATGCTTCATATGTTTCAGCTATCATATGTGCAAACAATAACATAGAAATAATAAACCTTAAGCTTGAGATAACTTTGATGAAACTGTAATATGATGCCCTTACAACACTTTAGAATAAAGTGTTTAAAAAATGATGCTCTGGGCTGCAGACAGTTTCTTCTTTGCATTGTATTATGAAAACATCATCATGCTGCTTGCAGGCTTTGCTTCCAGAGTGCACTTCATGTTGATAGCCAGCTGCTGTGTTGCCTATTTTGTGTCCATTCTTGGGAGGCCACTCTTACTTCTCTATGAGAAAAAAATACGATTGAACTGACGTGACAATTGATGTATGTACAAATGAACTAAAACACAGTGATTTTACAATTGACAAAGTCTTTCATGGCTCTCCGCAGGGTGTTTATTAGGCATCAGAGATTGGAGAATTCTCTGTTTACTACACAGAATTCTCCAGCTAACAATCGGTAGGTTATGACTGTTTTTTATTCAAATGTGGAGCCTCTTAAAAAAAAAAAATAAAAAAAATAAAAAAAAAATTTAAAAAAATAGCCTTCATTTAAAGAGGGTAGCACTTAATAGCCAAAGGCTAATAAACTTGTGGCCCTCATTTTAACGTCTCCTAATGGAGACGGGACCGCCATTTTACGTGGTCATCCGAGCCACGCGAAGGTCCAGCCGCCCGCAGGGCAAAGGAAGTACCTTCATTTCTCAGTTATTTTAAGACCCTAAGTATTGGTCCGGCCCCGGGAATCGAACCCGTGACCTCCCGCTCTGCAGTCAAGCGCTCTACCGACTGAGCTAATCCTGCCGCGGTTAAATGTATTTTCTTCAATGTATTCTCCTGTTATGACTTGTTAAACCTATCTCCTGCTACTGGAATTCTTAATGAAAACCCTTGGCTCTATGAGGTAACAGTGCAGGGTCAACCTTGCACTTGACATGTTAGTATTTACTCTCGGATTTTATCATACCAGATGGATACAGGAAATAATACTACATTTTAACATGAATTATGCATATTTGGTAACAACTGGAAGTAAGATTTGACTAAATAATAAGAGTTTCAGAGGAATTAATGAACATGTCAATTTTGAACTAGAATGCATTTATTTCGAGGGAAGAAGGACAAGTTATACTTAAGTAGTTGTGATAAACCCTCAACAATTTAATCACATAATTCTACAGCTGTATGACACCACAGCAGTGCTCTAACTAGCTGAACTTTGATGATTCATAAGATACCTACATGGCTACTTTAGTTACTAGAATCATTTCATAGTGGGAATTGTACTTTATCTGGATACATCAAAACAGCTGAAAATGAAATCAAACCAAATTGCACCTGCCTACTGCAAGTGTTGAAATTCAGTCATGGAATTGGCAAAGGACAACATTGATGTTGTAGGATTCATTAAGACTTTGTTGGAGTCCTTTGCTTCTTATTTCCAGTTCTGGTAGTAGGCTCTACTGCTCACTTTTGCTGCAGAAAAAAAATATCCAACTCGTGCTTTGTGATCAAGAAAAATTTTGAGAGGATTTATTGTATGTTTTCCTTCTTGACTACAAGGAGCATTCCAAATCCCCTAGGTCTTTCCCCTGAGACCCTATTCTAACTGGCAAAAGTGATCCAACCCCCCTGGCTAAGACTAAAAATAATTTTAAAAAATGTCAACAAAATCCCAAACCATGCCCGTATACGATGTATGTCCCGAGGACTGCAACCCTGGATGGCCACTGATAGAGTAAGTGTTGTATTTTTTAAGTTTTGTCAGTGACTGTGCTAATATTGGGAGTGGCTTCTTCTAAAATATTCTATAACTTACAAAGGATTTAATGAAGCCCAAACCAGAATTGTAGATTTCCTCAATTTTACCTACAAAATTAGGGCTCACAAAAGTCCGGTCTGGTAGTCTGTAACAAATAGAAAAATTAGTTTTAAGAAAAAAAATTCCACCAAAATCGAAATCCAAAATGGCCAGAATTTAGTTATCCCAGACAAGACAAAGTTGATTAATATCGATAAGCATCTTACGAGCCTGGTTTAACTTAGTGGCGAAAGCTAGCGCCTGCTCAAAAGAGTATGCATCAACATTATGAGACCTTTTTTTACCTGGTAGTTTTCAAAGGTTACTATCTTAACATTAAGAGCAATGCACAAAGTCTATTCAGAATAACAATGATTTAAAACTACTTAACGAGCACAAAGAATTTTTTTACACAAAGTTTTCAAAGAGAAAATTATTTGCACACGCCATAGTACAGCTTAGCGAATGACAACAAACTCATTGGCTCCACTAACTGAAAATACCGATATAAATGTTTTTGCCCGTTTATTACGTAGTGCAACAAATTTAAATGGCTCAACATGCACCATTGAGCTGTGGATGTACTTGGAGAACTGTTAATC